ATTAAGAAAAATTGTTTCTGAAATAAAATGTGTGGTTACTTTGAAGAGACAAACCTACAGAGAACCGCACTGTGGAGAGATGCCCTGGCATGTAGCTGGTTTGGGTGGACGTGTTTTTCTGCTCCTCTCTGAGGCCTTGGGACCTGCAGGCCATTTTAGAGATTCCTCAGGCTGTCCACTTTTGACACTCCAGCCAGATTAGGTGTCCTTGAGCTGTGATTCATAGCCCATTTCTTTGCGGCATTTACTGCAATACCAGTCATTGTATAATTATGTGCTAATTTTTCTCTCTTTAGCTAAGTGTGTACTGCATCCACGCTATAGAATTGAGCTCCTTAAATGATTCGTTATAAACCTGTGCTCAATTCCAGGGCAAGGCCAGGGTGGAGGTCTTTGATTTTTTTCTCACCTTGCCTCATTTATTTTCCTTCTTGCTGGAATCTCTTTTTAAAATTCTGCACATAGTTAAACTTTTAAATGACTGAAATATTTTAACTGGGCTCCTCCCCACAACATAGTTTAGGGAAAATTCCTCTGAGGCTGAAGCTTACCAAAGTAGCTGTCTTTTGTTAAATTTTTTTTTTTTTTTTTAAGTATAAAGAACTGTTCCAACAGGTCCTCCTAGAGGTGAAATGTTTACCTAACTGTGTAAGAGACAGAGCACCTAAACTGGTGTGAGATGGTGGTATACTTCTTTAGGAGTAACTAGAGGAGGAGGATTTCTTTCAGACTTCACAGTTGTGTCATTCTGCCACGAGGAGATGGACAGGTGGGGTGGGGGCTCCCTCTCTATCCCTGTGTCCTGCTCTCTGCCACAAATCACCTCAGAATTTTTTCCCAGGGAAAACCAAAATGGCAGCCTGAACTCCAAGGCTCCCTCTTCCACCAGCTCCCTCCCTACCTCTCCGACTAGAGCTAATGGCTCTGTACCATTATTTTTCCTGTCAGAATTAATAGGGAGATATTCTTTTCCCAGAGCCATTAGTTAAGTAATATTGCTTACAGAATTGCTGAAACAGGATAACACCTCCTTCTCCAGGGTGTAAATCTTAAGAAATGATGAGGCAAGTGCTTAAACACATCAATTATATTCCAAAGCCTGAACTTTTCTCTTTACAATTTTCATTTAGATTAAGAAAGTTTGAAATTAATGATCCATAAAGTAGATTCTCTTGATTTAATTTTGGCACTAAAGAATTCAAATAATATTAGCTTTCCTCCCTTCATTTAGTTTCCCTTCTTCTCCACAATTTGTCCTCTCTTTAGTTTAGAGCATTCTCTTATTGTCTGGGCATGATTAAAGTTTTGAGAACACTTTTCCACTATTTTTTTTTTCTTAGAAGATGGTAAGTGAAGTGTTCTCAAACTGATTGCCTTTCATCAAAGAAAGAGAACAGAAATGAGAACCTTAGAGAAGAGTGGTTTCTGAAAAAGAAGATTCAAATGATTACATAGAAGAAGGAAAACTAAAAAAAAAAAAAAAGTGGAATTACAGAAATACTCTAGGTTCAGCTAGAGATGGAAAAATATCTTTCTCTTCTTTTCATGGGCTTCATAGCTTTTCTCTGCCAAAGAAACTGAACTTTAGTTACCAGTGTGTGGCGACTTATCTCCTTCTATCAGCAGTTTTGGTAAGAGGACTGACTGAACTTTTTTTTTTTTTTTTTTTTTTTTTGTGGTGCTGGAGATTGAACCCAGGGCCTTGTGCATGCAAGGCAAACACTCTACCAACTGAGCTACATCCCCAGCCCATCGCTGGACTTTAGCTTTGCCTGAACATACTAGACACATCCTGGGAATTTGTTTTATTATTTACAGTCCAAATTTTGGAAGCACTATCATAAGTTGTCTTATTTTTTTCTGACCCACTAATGGTATCAAGTAATACCATGCTTGTTGCAGCATAGACAACAGCACAGACATAGTAAGAAAAGTCTGACAACTCTCTGTCGCCCGAGGCCATCAGAGTTAGGTTGGTGCACATCCTTCTACGCCTTTCTCCACATGCAAGCAAATATGGACAGACTCTTTTTTATTTTTTTCTTTTCTTTTGACAGAAAAGGACAATGCCCCAGTAGGAATCATCAACTCTTCTTCAAGAACCTCTTAAAAAACTCTCGGCCAACACATGCATAGATCATTTTAGTACTGGCATAAACTCCCACAGCCTGGCTATCTTGTCTTTTGTTTCTCCAGCCTTTYCTCTGCTGACAGATGATCATGTTGATTCCTGCTGTTTTTTGTTTTTTGTTTTTGTTTTTTGCTATTGTTGCAGAGAACATTCTAGCTCAGTTTCCCAAGGAACAATTGATGGWACAATAGCTTAATCATTATTTCTTAGCTCATCTTGTAAGGTATTACCAAATTGCTGTTCAGAAAGAGATTCACTCTCCCATAAATGTTTTTTAAACAGTATTTAAAAAAAATATTTTTAGCTGTAGATGAACACGATATCCTTATTTTGTTTAGTTTTTTATGTGGTGAAAGGATTGAACCCAGTGCCTCACGCCTGGTAGGCAAGGGCTCTACCACTGAGCCACAACCCCAGCTCTTAAATGGTATTTTGAAAAGGAAGCTTTACCTCAGCAAGAGGGGAGAGCTCTGCTCTCAACGTCACTGAAGCACTTGAGTTTCCTGAATATCAGTGGGTAACCTACTGGCCTCTCATTGGCCAAATTCAGGACACGGAGATGTCGGGTAGCACAGTTGTTGTGGTGGTTTTGAAAATTAGCTATTAATATTTAAAATCACATCAAATGTCAATGTCTAGTTAGTTTCTCTTGCAGAGTGGACACCTGTGCTGAGCAGGAGGCTGGGTCCCTTTACCACCTCTCTCAGGGGCCCCTTCAGTCTGGGCATGAGGATGCTCCCTGCCTGCCYCCAGAGTCCCCCAAGGGTGGGATTCGCTTGGCTCCTGCAGCATCCAAGTCGGTCATCTTTGGGGCCAGGAAACTCGGTCGCATTACAGGATATTCATCAGTACCCAGGGGCTCACCCAGGAGAGGTGGAGACACCCCCCACTCCCACACTCTGAATCAGGACACCCAAAAAGTCCCCAGACATCACTTTGGGTTATATCAGAACCCCCGGTTTGAATGCACTTTCCTGGGTAAATTCTGAGATAAAGCTAACTCTGCAATGTCTCTGGCCAGCCCCCTTCACCAAGCAGAAAACATCCAGAGGACGAAGTGGTCCAAACCTGCTCCTCTCATCTGCAGCGTGGAGATGCAGGACAAGTGGATTTGCAGGTGGTTCTAGTCTCTCTCTCTCTCTCTCTCTCACACACACACACACACACAAACATACACACACACACACACACACACACACACACACACACGACTTGGTTTTCTAAATACTGTGTGAGGAGTACCACGAGTCCCTGGGGCAAAGGTAGACATCGCCTTTGTTTGCTGCATTTTTTCTTTTGCAGGTGACCAGCCACCTGCCTGCTGCCCTGCAGCTCCCCCCACAGGGGTTTCTGGGGCCAGCAGTGGGCTGCCAGGGACCCCAGGCTCCCCTTCTCTGTCAGGACATCTCCATCTCTTCTAATGACCTCCCTGTATCTTTTCCCGTTAGAATTAATGGAGAAGTATTAATTCTTTCCCCAAAGCTATTAGTTAAGTTGCAGTGCTTGGAAATTGCTGAAACAGAATAMTTTCTCCTTCATCCCAGGGTGTAAATCTCGAGGAATGATGAGAAGCTGTTTCAGGGGCATCGACTATATCCTAGCAAAGAGGCTCACATAGACAATTTTCACCCAGCAACAAGAAACTTTTAACATGATGACGCATAACACAGAGTGTCTAGGTTCAGTCTGGGCATTTCATGCTTCAAACAGTATTTCTTTATTGTCTCCATTTTTCTTTCCGTGATTTGAGAACCCTTCTCTGTCTCTGTGTTTTAAGGCCGTGCTCTTATTGTCTGGACATGATCAAATTTTTAACTTAGAGCAAGATTTAAAATACCATTTTGCCCTCAACACAGTTTAGGTTGTTGGAGAGGGAGAGGACTCATTCTGCTTGCCTTTCATCACAGGGATAGAAAGGAGATGATGAGAGTCACTAAGAAAAGTGCTCTGCTGAAGTGGAAGATTTGGTCATGATTACTTAGAGGCAAACTTTCAAAGATCACATTAGGGTGGCGCAGAGTGCCCCAGGCTGCGTGGGTAAATGTGCTCCTTGGTGCTCTTGGGGCCTGCCCACCTGGGGCTCTTGTCCGGAGCTGCCTCCGTGGCCCACCTCCGGGCACTGATTGCTTTCTGATTGTCATGAACAGTGACTTCATCCTGCTCCCCTGAGAGGAACAAGCCTCTCTCTACCATTCTTCCTAGTCATGTTTTTTTCCTAAATAGGATTTATAAAAAAAATTGTAACAGGATTGCAGAAACCCAAGAGCTTACTGCCAACTGTATGATAACACCAGGTATACAGAGGGCACTTACAGAAAAATGGGTAGAATAATCTCATGAACACATGATTCCGGCTCAGGATGATTGATGGCGGTGTGGCCAGTGTGGTTTCCCTCCTTCCCGAAGGTATAGGTTGGGTCGGGACCCTCTGGTTTTCCCTTCATCATATTCACTATATTTGTTTGGTAGATTTTCTGTGCAATTCTTTGCTTCCTGAATCTCTTCCCCATTAGAGGGTCATCTCTTTGAGGGGGATCTGAGCCTCCTCCACTGTTGAGCTAGCCCCCTGTGTGTTTCCCGGCACCCCATCAACATTCCATCAAGGTTTAGGCTCAATAATCAGGGTCAAAAAGGGGCTTCAAAAGTATGGGCTTAACAAACGAGCTCCATAAATATTTGAACAAATAAGCAAAGTACTGTCGACAGGGTGATTGCTTTGAAAGACCTCCCCCCGGCTCTCTAAGTAATCGCACTTTTTAATCGCCAGCGAGTTGTCATCCTTTAATGACAGGAATCCTTCTAAACAGGTTCATCTCCAGTTGACTGACAGCCGAGGAGATGGTGCCCACTTTTGTGACCATGCTGGCAGCTTCCTTAGAAGGTCCATGCCGGGCACCCACTTTTAGCCCCTGCCAACTCCATGGTAATGGAGTTTGGGGTGTATGGGAACAAACCCAAAGAAATGTTTCAAATGACTTCCATTTTCAGATAATGATACTTGAGTAGTACATGGACTAACATTTTAGCAAGGCCTAGAATTCTGGCAGCTGAAAGCAGGTTTGAGCCGGAGCGGGCAGCGCCGTCCCAAGCTCTCATCCTTTCTTTGCCACATTTTCTTTTTAATTATCTTACATTTCCTATGGCCCTTTCAAGAGGGCTAAATTTACAATTGCTGTAATGGCTGAAGCCGTTGCTTCCTCCTGACGTGGCGTGGCAATTATTTCTGAGAGACATTATTAAAAACGCAGCCTTTAATCAGGGGAAGAACAGAACAGCAGCGAGCGGCAGTGAGAGATGGCTCCTCTAATGAGATCCACGTAATGGTGTAAGAGCAGCCGGTGCTCCTGAGATGGAAGGGCGACGCGGCATCTGTAATTTCTGAAGACGCAGGAAGTGATTCATGCAGTGTGATTCTGAAGCTGGCACAGGAGCACATTCTGTGCCTTCGGATGTGACCAGGCCATGACTGACTTTTTGGAAAGGCCATTCGTTTAAAAGCAAGTTAGTGTCCTGCTTCAATAATCCAAATTAGTTTAACACACTTCGGTGACATTATTTCAGCATTTTTCACAATTATTAGAGATAACTCACTTTTCTCTGTAGACTGTAGGGTCAAAAGCAAATTAAATCAATGGATTTTCTTCCCCCATGCTCTCAGATGAGCCAGAAGTTTTCTGTCTGACTTGCTCTGCCCTTTCGGTTTGAGCTTAAAAACCCAAACAACCTGTTGGGGAGACATTGCCAATTTGATTACTTTCTCTTTGCTAATTAGTTTTGCCTTCCTGTTGGATGGAATGAATGGCCTGGCCATTTTGTCACCGTGGGGACAGAGCTTAAGTGGAGCAGTTGTCCTGGGAAACTGTGGCCACAGGAACGTCCCCATCATTATTACTGTCTGGAGATTCGTCCCCTTAATTACTTCTGTCTGGAGATGTGTCGCAGGCGAGAGTGAAAATCTGTCTTGACACCATCACTTTCTCCACCCTTACTTCCTTGCTATGATCAAGTCACCCCATGTGGCCCCAGACCCCAGCAACCCTCAGGGATGCCAGGTACAGCCAGTCTAGCAGGGGATGAGGGACCTGCCCAATGGTAATCCTGTCATGGAGCCCCATACCTCCTCCCCAGCCTTTGACTCGGGGACATGCAGCCTGCCTTGCGCTTCCTAGGCAGCAGGTAGGAGGACCCTTCGGTAAAGATCCAGAGAAGCTTCAGGGCTTCCTACTTCCCCTCGGGGCTGGGGGATTGCCAGATGCTGGGGCCCCTGGTTGAGAGACTGCACCCATGAAGTGCTAGCACCAAATRGATTTTTACAGCCACTTCTTAAATATGGGCCAATATTGAAGATGGCTCCTTCCCTCAAGAGAGCCTGTGACAGGAAGAGAAAGACAAAAACACAATGAAACAAAAGAACACGGGAGAGAGACCCCTGCAAGGAGCAGCAGGACCCAGCAGCCACAACAATAAGCTGTCATCTGAGTTGCCAGAGAGAAAAGGGAAGATGACAAAGAACAGGATGCAATTTTAGAAAATGGAAAAGGACCTTAGAAATTTGAAGTATGACAGCAGAAATAGCAACTTATGAGCTGAATGTAAAAATGGGCACCCTATGGAACCAGTTAGGTGTCCATCAGTGGATTCACAGATGAGGAAAATGTGATCTATGTACACAATGAAGTTTTATTCATCCATAAAGATGAACGAAATTATCTCATTTGCAGGTAAATGGATGAAACTAGAGACCATCATGTTAAGTGAAATAAGCCAAACTCAGAAGGTCATGTTTTCCCATATATGGAAACTAGAGAGGAAAGGGGAAAAACAAGGTGAGGGCAGATCTCATGAAAATCAAAGAGAGATGAGTAGAGTAGAGGAAAGAGACCAGGGGAAAGAGGAGGAGAGGGAAGGGGAAATGCAGGGGAACAGTATTGGCCAAATTATATTGTTCTATGTGTGCATGTGTGAACAGGTAACAACAAACCCCACCACTGTGTATGGTTGGAATGCACCAGTGGAAAAAAATGTGGAAAAAAGATGATGGAAGTCTCCCAAAAGAAAACAAGAAGACAAAGATATAGAAAATATGGAGGAAAAAAAGAAAAAGAAAAGATTATAGCAGGAGGTACAATAACCTAACAAGAGAAGTCCTATAAAGAGAGAAAATACAAAATAGAAGGAAATCAAAGCAATGGCTCATAAGTCCAAGAGATCTTTCAAACAACACAGGGCTATTGTTAATAGCAATGCATTATATTCTTGAAAATTCCTGAGAGTACATTTTAGGTGTCCTCACTCCACACCCACAGGAAGATAAGTATTTGAAGCAATGCATATGTTAATTTGTTTTATTTAGCTTTTCCATAAAGCATAGATAGTTAAAACAATACAATTTAAAAGAAAAGAAAGAATGAGCCATATTTTTCTAAAATCAAAGGACAAGGTTTAGATGGAAAGGACCCATGGCACGCCAGCAGGTGCCTGAAGACACCAGGATCTGCCCCCCACCTTTCTCTTTCCCTTTGCTCTGTAGTCTCCACATATGAGAAAACATGACCCTTGACCTTCTGAGTTTGGCTTATTTTGCTTAACATGATGGTCTCTTGTTCCATCCATTTTTCCGCAAGTGACACTGGGAGTGAGGGGAGCCACAGAGCTTCCAGAAGAGGAAGCACACACCATTGCACCAGAGGATGGTGAACCATGAATCATATTCACACAGAACCTGACAGCGCCGCACCATGGGTTCTGGTTCTCTTTCCTTCTTTCCCCCAACGAGATTTATTATGGGCCCAGAATATGGGAGTGTTAGACTCTCAATAAAGATATTTCTAAAGAAATGAAATGAAATCTTATCACTTAATTTTCTTAGGGGAATGATTTTAGTAATATGTCCATCGAAAGCTAAGCAAAAGAGAAAAAAAATATATTATTTACTCCCAGGGAAGCATCTTGGGCAGGAGGTGCCCAGCCGTGAGGGTCAAGGGTGTGCTCCTAGACATCGTGGGCTTGACATGCTCGTTTGCCCAAACGAAGCCTGGCTCAGGTTGCAGAATGGTGGGCAGAGGATGAGAAGCRTGGTGTTGGTGGTGGGGCGGGGAGAGTGATGTGGTGGACAAGGGAGTGGGAAGGGCTGACCTCTGCCCTGATGGGAAGTCATCAAGTACACAGGGTGCTGTCATCCATAGTCTAGCCTGAAGCTTCTACTGGGGCCACCTGTTGTATGGCAGATAAATCAAGCTGATCTGAAATGAATCTGAGCAAATATGGCCAGGAAGATGATTGGTGGTGGCGGTGCAGGGCGTGGAACGCCCTATGAAATAGCCTTTACAATGAATGGGGAACTGTTTGGGGAACTGATGCTGCTACTTCTGTCCTCCACAGAAGTGAAGTCGACTTATCTGAGTGTGGACTGGTCAGAGGTAAAGGGAGCTAAGTGACGTGATGGGAGGTGAACCTGGCAGTGACAGGAAGACAAGGAGCAGCTCTTGGGAAGTTGTTTCTTGTGCCTTTGTAATTCCAGATGTCTATACTCGTGTCTCCCCGTCTTCAGGTCTAAACCTGCAAGGAGACCTTGCCATTTCAGAATTTTCTCTTGGTTATGGGAATGAAGAAGAGAAGGAAGACGACTGTGGCCGCATCTCAGAAAACGCCTCTCCTAGTTCAAGTTCAAGGACCGTCAGGGAAAGAGACAAATTAACTGCGAAGGTGGGGATCATGACTTCGAGCTATCTCTGCCTGCCCATGGTCTAGAATTAGGGCTCCCCTTTTCCCGTTGTCATTGTTGACTGTGGCAAAATGAGCTGGGCCCCCCATTAGAGCTTCCTGGCCCTGAAACACAGGGTGACTCTGCTTGTGAAGCAGTTGGGATTATTTCTGATGGTTTATTGCAAATCCTCAGGACATTAGTAATTCATACCTGAAGGAAGATGTTGTCGTACATCAGACAGTACTGGGATAGGAGGTCACCCCTGGCAGATCGTGGGGCCGCATGTTGAAGACCACTAGCCTACAGACCCAGACCACAGGTTGAGCAGTGCTGATGTGGATCCACTGAACACACTGTGCCATAAAAACACACGGCCTTGTGTGAGCTGTGGGGACGGCCAGCAGGAAGCTCAGGCCTGGGTGGATAATTGAGTGGTTTTGTTTTTAACACAGCCAGATAAAAACACATAGCAATCTCAGCAGCTTATTTTGTATCAATAAGGAGCCTGACTTGAGTTAATGCTCCAATTAGTTATTAATGGAAATTTATTGAGGGCATCACATTGAAGTTCACGCTCAGTAAAGAATCATTAAAACCTTGAGACCTTGTTTTCATTGAGGACCACGTTCCTGACTAGTTTTTTTCTTGTACCAATTAACCTTTTCTCCCTCTTTTTTTTTTTTTTCTTTGCACTCTGTTGCAGGATATTTCTCCATCTGCTGGCAAGCATGATGGCTGTTCTCAGCAGCATGACACTGCTGCCCTGTCAGGGTTATCCCTGCAAGTTGACACCTGTGTGGCAGTGGCAAAGGATGACCCTACGTCTCGTGGCAAAGGTCTTGAGGCTGGATATCCGGAAGCTCAGCTGCCACCATCCCAGGGTTCAGTCTCGGGAGATCCCAAGCCATGCGTCTTCTCTGATGCTCAAGAGCCTCCTTCTTATGAGTCCAAAGGAACCTTTCCCCACCATGACATTGCTGCCTCTGTTGCTGCCATCTGTATTTCTGTGGGGGCGGCAGCAGGTCACACAGTGCTGGGCATTCACAGTGCAGAGCCTCAGGAGCACAGCTGGGCTGCAGGGGAAACTCTGGCCCAAAGCTCCCCAGACAGAAGAGCCATCACCGAGGGCATATCACAGACGCCCCTGCCAGCAAAACTTGCATCTGGACACAAGACTGTGGGCTCAGTTCCCCTGGGCTCAACCGGAAAGCTTCATCTTGAAATGCCAGCTTTAGGACTAAGTTCAACTCGTTCACACCAAGAGGAAGGGGGACACCAGGTGGCCTGTCCTTCCAGGGGTCAATATGGGTGTGGGGAAAAGGCCATCCCCTGTCCCACTGTCCCAGGAACCGACAGTGGGAAACGCCAAGTACCTGGATTGATTACTCGCAAGGGCTGTGTGGTTTCTTCTAACCCAGGGCAGCCCTCAGAAGTCCCTGAGGCCCCTTCTAGATCTGCGAGGAAGAGAAGTTTGGAAGGAATGAGAAAGCAAACTCGGCTGGAGCTCAGCGACTCCAGCAGTGATGATGAAGACCGCCTGGTCATAGAGATATGACACCTCTGTGACAAGATGACGTCCCTGGCTGAAGACTGTTGATGCTTCCCAAGTGAATGTCCTTAAGAGGCAGAAGCACTGATGGTACTTACAAAACACCTGCAGACCAGAAAGCCATCTGGGCTTCTTCCAAGCCAGCTCCAAACCCCAGTTGGCTGCACCCTGTCCCAGTTCCTATTGGGCAGGCCTAACAGGCTCCTCCAGTGCCACGAAGCTCGGTCTGAGAAGGCTCCATGTACCCAGAGACGGGCCTTGACTGCAGCCTAAGCCCAGAGTGGGTCCCAGTGCCTCACTCTGAGAGGAGCACATTCACCCAGGGAGCCACAGTTGGCCCACTGACCAACTGGTGGACCTGGGGTCTGGCCACTGACTTCTCCACTAGTACGTGGAGGGTTTGCTTCAGGTAGTGAGCACACATGGGATGATGTGTGTGTGTGKGGGGGGGGACTTCAAAAAAGGGAGTGTGACTTGGGCAACATTCTGGAGACAAAATTCAGATTTACTGAAAAACTGATTTGGTCGAGGTAATTTGCCTCCTTGGTGGAAGCTGTAAATATACTTCAAAATGCCCATGGTCTGGTGAAGTGCTGATATCCTTTAATGTTGCACAAATGGTCAATGCTCATTTATGGTCAAATGACGCACGCACTTGCTGCTCTTGTACCTGGTGCCTTTTCTGTGAGACCCCTGAGACCATTAGTTTTTCCAGCTCTTTGCAAAGGAACGCTGTGTTAAAAGTCAATAGAACAGTCTTTCTGTAATGAGTCATTTTTTGAGGGGGAAAAATTCACTTATTTTCCTCTGATTCTTTTTGTCATATTGTGCTCTGAGCAATTTCAATTAGAGGGTTCCATTTTAGTAATCTGTGCAGCTTGAATTGATGCCTGCTCCTCGTGACGGGAACCTTTCAGACTTCCTCCAGAAGCTTCAAGGATACAAAACTAATTGGAGTTTTGACGCTGTTTTACATCTCAGTAATTTTATTTTGGGGGCTTGGTGTTACTTTGCTGTCAAATTAAATCAGCCTCTGTATTGTGCAAGTCAGAACAGCACAGATAAAATTCCCCAGTATTCCAAGCCAGCGCACCCCTATGCAGAGGAAAATAGCAGGTCTACGTCAGCCAGCCCACTGAGCAGAGCCTCAGATTTCCTGCTTCCTCTCCCTCTCCTTAAATGGGAGAGGAAAAACTTAAAGAGGTTTATACTGCTGCATTTCAATAAAATTTTTATACTTGCTTTTGGTATGATTTTGTACAATTTGAAATTTATAGCTGAGCTCTTTTGGCTTAACTTTGATGTAATGATGTTCATATGACATCTTGTACTTCAAAGGCAAAGCAACAATGCAAACCATCTCACACATGTGAACACACTTTGCCAAGCCCTCGCCTGTGACCGTGTGTGCTCCCATCTCAAGTCTCTTCATGTGAATTTTCCAATTCTGATGTTATTCATAGAAAACTTCAATGAAGGGCCAGCTTCCCCTGGTTACTTAGAATATGTCAGTGGTCATTTCATATGCATTCATAAGTAGCTCAGTGATCACAACCTCAGAAGAAGGCATCAGAAGGAAGGTTGCTAGACGTCAACGGAGGGTAATTTTTAAGCCAAGCAAAAGTGCTGCAGTGGTCATCAACTCCTGGGAATGGCCTATGCCACTTCCTGGGAGAGGTAGTATAGGGAAGCAGTTGGAGCTCTGGACAGAGAGAGGTGAATTCCCAGCTTGGTCTTTAGCTAGGAAACGTTGGTGTGAAGACCCTCTCTGCACCTCCATTTCCCTAAATGAAATTAAGAGAATTGGACAAGATGAGCTGAGTGTGTTTCCAGATTACAAACCTGGGGAGAGTGGATGACAGAGAAGCTGTCCTCTCCTTAACATGCCTGGGCTCCATGGTTTGGAGATGTTCTCCATGGAAGCCTTGCCCTAAGGATTCTGCATGTGAAAGTTTGGGTGACAATCACGAGGAACAGAAGCAAAAACCTCTGGTGCGGTAGTGCTGCAAAGCTTCATTTCATTCTTTCCCAGAGCTCCGGATTTTGGTGTGATGTCACCAATCTTATAAATGTTGGTTTATAATCCAAATACTAAAAAGTAAAAGCAGAACACTACTGTGTGAGTGGAAGAAGACCTATTTGTTGTCCAAATTGTCTGCTTTGTCTTGGAGGTACTTGATAGGGGAAGGGAATGATTTTCCAGATCCCTCCTTCCTGGGTGGCTGCTGAGGTGTCAGCTAGATCTCAGGACCTAGTAAGCTAAAAGTCCAAATAGTACTGGCCACAGGTCGCAGTGGAAGCTCTGTCATTCTGTGAGCCACTGTGAATGGCTGTCATATCACAACCTAGATCCAATATGGCGGAATGCTGATTTCATCTTTTTAACTCCCTGTAAGTCCCTCAGAGGTAGGCAGTTGACCAAGTAGTTCTGTTTCACAGGGTCATTTAGCTAGYTGGTGGCAGTGTTCCCAAGTATACCTTACTTTGTATTAGCATGAATTTGTAAAAAGTTCAATGGATTTTTTAAAAAATCAGAAATGTTTTTTTGAATGACACTAGGAGAGCTGGCTATTGAAGACATCCTAAGCTGAGTTTTGATTCTTTTGTTTACAAGGAAGAATTCTTTCAGAAAGCAACAAACCGATCTCTGATTYTTTAGAAACCCAATTTTCCTATGGGTTTTCTTAAACTGAAATGCAACCATGGGAATACATTTTAAGGGTAACATCAACAACCTGTATTCCAGTTTGGACAATTGGAAATAAAATTTAAATATTGTCAGCTGATAATTATTTTCATACTGAATGGGTACACACTGCATGATGTTCAGAAAGGATAAGTTTATTTTACCACAACGCAAACTCAAGTATAAAGATCAGACGTTTCTTTTTCCCCCCTAGTGCTGTGCATKTATTTTCAAGTAAGGGTCTTAATCAATTGGTGCCTCAGCTTCCTCAATGGAGAATATCTCTGGGGCTGCTGGCATGGGCTGAGGTGAAGGGCACTTCAGATTCTCTGCCTTGCTCTCAGGCAAGGTAAGCCAGGGCTACAGCTCCTGATGCTTGAAGTGTTTACCAGTTCATTTCTTTAACTTTATCTCCCACCCAGCCACGTCTCACTTCTTCAGATGTTTAAAGGAAAGGGGCCTCACCTTGGTAATATAAATTTTTACCTGACTTTTAAATTCACATGTTTTTTGGTGGGCAAACTGGGTCCTCCTTGTTATAAGCTGTGATGAATAGCTCATCCCTCCTGGTAAGGCCAACCTTCGGAATTCTAGATGAAGTGAATCCTCTTTGGTTCACACTTCACAGTAACCAGGAGGACATGTGGTTCCTTTGCCAAGAAATCAAAATAGAAGGGGGAGGGTGGTATCTCTGAAATCTAGCCAAAATGTGGCCAATACCTTTGTAGGTGACCTAGAGCAAGTTACAATTTCCCTTCCTAAAATCCCACTTCTGAAGCTGAGATCAGAAGAGTAATCTTGAAAATGCATTTTGACCACAGTCCTTGGCATGAAAGAAACGATTTACAGTCTTATGCCAAAAAGTATTTCCTTGCATTTACATTCATTACTTAGAATGATCACATTATTCATTTTTTCCCCAGCATAGAAATTTGCATTTTGCACAAAATTTGCCTGGTGCAGCAGATTTTTATAGTTATGGAAACTGTCATCATGATGGGAATGTGCTGCTGCTCAACTCCCTAGACATAATTTAATATGGGGAGGAGAAAATGGCCTGCCTGGCCTATGGGCGATCATATTTCTACGACTGCAGCAAGAAAAGCTTGTGTATCTTTCCTCACTGCAGTGGTTATTCCCATCGTTCGTGCGTGGGAGAAACTCTGGATTTTGAAACACTACATTTCTTGTCCCTATCTTTCAGAATTCATTAACTACCAATGTCAGGATCTAGAAAACCTTGTATGGTTCTTTGCACCCATGCTTTGTACTTACGTGGGAATGTGCATAATTTGGTCTGAAGAAGTATAGGAATATTTGAGCACATTATTTCACCACTGGAAGAAAAGGAGTCAGGGAAAACCATCAGCCCTTGCTGTATGGAGTCCTGGAGGATGACTCACTATCTTACATGCATAGTAAACTGTCAGGACTTAATACTCTATTGACTGTCCATAATCAGGGAAGCGATTGGCTTCTTGGTTGTTTGTTGACATTTATTTCCATCTTTATATAGTTAAATTATTTTGTTTTGATAAAAATAAAACTTAAAATGAAAATGCTTTATCTGTTTTGTTAATATTTTAACTGAAACCACCACAAGCAGTATCCTGTATGACTTGGACATCTGATTATTTCCAACAAGTTGGCCAGACACCCGGTCCGCCATATTGGTATTCCATTCCACTCAACAAAAGGATTAGATAATGGTGAATTATTACATTTTCTTGTGCTGTTTCTTTCTCCCGTGTGTCTCATTTGTCATTATCTGCCATATTTTATAGTTTGTAACTTAGAAATATGTTTTTAAACTCTTAAATGTAGCTAAACTTTGAAGCCACATGAGGGCACTATCCACAGTGCAATAATCCAAAACTTTCCCCCTCTGAATTGGTGTTTTTTGGATATTTAATTTTATTCATCAACAGAGAAAACATCCTTACATCAAAATTGTGCCTCCTTGCAAATATAATTCATGTACTCCTTGCAAGAATAAGTAGGCTTATTTTATATCCCAACACAATATTCTTCTTCTGGGTATATATCAGTTGAAACCACTTGAACCCAACAGGGAGACGATGCATTGGGAATAAAAGTGGAAACTTGGAAGGAACAGATACATTAATTGAGGACTCTTAATTGTTTTTTTTTACTTCCTAATCTATCAAATTATAATAGTAATAAATTAATCCATTATTTCCAAATTTCAGTCATTTGAGAACCATCTTTTTGCCATATATATCAACAGACTATGTGTAGTCATATTATTTACTTAATACTCTTATTTAAATAATCTCTGTTAATGAAGAGATTATTGCTG